ACACCAATGAAATTAATGGGTAGCATGTTTAAAACTAATACAAGAAAGTTCTTCACACAGCGTGTCGTCAACCTGTGGAACTCCTTGCCAGAGGAGGCTGTGAAGGCTAGGACTATAACAGAGTTTAAAGAGAAGCTAGATAATTTCATGGAGGTTAGGTCCATAAAAGGCTATTAGCTAGGGGATAGAAATGGTGTCCCTGGCCTCTGTTTTGTCAGAGGATGGAGAAGGATGGCAGGAGACAAATCGCTTGATCATTGTCTTCGGTCCACCCTCTCTGGGGTACCTGGTGCTGGCCACTGTCGGCAGACGGGCTACTGGGCTAGATGGACCTTTGGTCTGACCCAGTACGGCCGTTCTTATGTTCTAATACAGCTAGTCCACATACACGAATTTGTCTGCCACAGCCTTTCAATTAAGGATCCTGGTTCTTTATCTTTGCTCAGGGTTTTGGATCCAGAGGTTCTGGGGTTAAGTCTCCATTTATATGTAATACACGTATAGTTAATATGGAGTGTCGTCTTATGTTACCACTTTGAATGTTTTTTGTTCTCATTGTAGCACTTTGTGTGGCGATCATGCAAAACATAGTCCAGTAGCACTGAAGACAGTTGTTTAAATATTTATTTTCTTTAAATCATCCTCCTTGTATTATACAATATTCAATAGTCAGATGTAAGAGTAGTATCAAGTAAACTGAATCATTGGGTAATTATAGAAATTTCTCAGATTTTAAGGGAGGGACATAATCTAGGTGTCACTAAATTTCCCAGAGGAAGAGCTTTGTGTATCTCTCAAAAACTTGTATCTTTCACTAACAGAAGTTGATCCAATAAAAGATATTACCTCACCTACCTTGTCTCTCAAAAATCCTGGGACTGACATGGCTACAACAGTGCTGCTTATAAAATTCTCTGCACACTTCCATAGTTTCTGTTAATTGTTTTATATGTCTTAGAGGGGTAGCTGTGTTAGTCTGAATCTTCAAGAACAACAAGAAGTCCTGTAGCACCTTATAGACTAACAGGTATATTGGAGCATAAGCTTTCGTGGACAAAGACCCACTTCGTCAGATGCATGTAGTGGAAATTCCAGAGGCAGGTATAAATATTCAGGCATAAGAAAGGTATATTTATACCTGCCTCTGGAATTTCCACTACATTCATCAGACGAAGTGGGTCTTTGCCCATGGAAGCTTATGCTCCAATAAATCTATTAGTCTATAAGGTGCCACAGAACTGCTAATTGATTTATGTATGTCTTTGTGCACAGCACCACAAATATGCAGAATGTTTTATGGATGTAAATATCTTTTTTTCAGAAATGGTGTTGAATCACTTTTTTTCTTATGTTGTCTATATCATGTGGCTACTTTGCTAAGCCCCCTTTCTTTGGTAACTGAACTAGTAAACGTGGTGCAGTGTATATTTAGCAAATCTTTCCATGTTTTGATTGTTACCACATTCAGAAATCATTTGTATTATGTGCAACAAATGGCTGAAGTGTTTTGTTTCTAGTCACGATCAGCTGGTGTTTTGGCTTTTCCTGCCTGAAATATCTAAGGAAATGACTTGGCAATCAATGAACTTGTTCACTAAACATTATCGTCTAAAATGTTTGCTGTACTTCAGTCTCATTTTTAGGTTTTACAGATCTTCGTGCTTTTATTGTCTGAGGCTATCTCAGTGAGTAAAGTTGACAATTAGTTAGCTCTCTTGCCCATCCTTAGCATTTACAGGCAGTCCCCGACTTACGCAGATCCGACTTATGTCGGATCCGCACTTATGAACGGGGCTTTTCTCGCCCCGGAGCTCGCGGGCAGCAGGACCGCCCAGAGCACAGCTGTCCCGCCACCGCATCCTCCGGGGTGAGAAAAGCTGCTCCGGGGCTAGACCAGGGACACCCGGAGCCAAACCCTGGGGGGGCGGGGGCCCACTCGCCCCGGT